TTTTTATGATAGCTATTTTGAAATCTCTGTCGTTTAGGTTATGGATTTCTGTGTCTTCAGAGTTGGTTTCTGGGTGCTTGTCATTTTCCTTCTGGTCTGGTGATTTCATGTATCTTTGCATTGTGGTTCCTGTGTTGGCTTTATTTTTCCTCATCCTGGAAATCTCTGGTTGCAATTTCCACCCACCGCCACTGTGTGCTGGTAAAGGGCTGTGTAATGTAAGCCCCCTGCGCTCTGCCACGGTTTTTCCGCTGTGATCCGCAGGTCGGATCGCTTGGTCTGGTCTGCCGCGGATCGCTTGGTCTGGCCTGGTCAGCTGAGCTGCAGGGTCCAGTTTGTGGGGAGGTGGGGGCTCTCTCTTTTGCCCTCTGGGTCCCTGGCGTGGGGAGCTTCTCGTTTGCCCCTCGTTATCTGCTCTCTGGGGTGCTCAGATGTTGATGGTAGCCCTGTGGCTTTTCTGAGTCCTCTGTGTGGGAGTTTCCCACTGGTTGAGAAAGCCCGAAGAGCTACAGTTTCCCTGCAGAGGGCCGCCCCTCCCCCCTCTCTGGGAGCCACGTGGACCGGGATTGCTGATCTGATGGGGAGGGAGAGGAGTTCTCCTTACCTCTCCCCACTTCCTCGGGGGCCCAGCATGTTCCACTCTCAGATGTGCGGCAGTGTGGATCTTTCCGATCTTGCTTTTCACTGTCTGGGATTCCGTTGTTGGTCTGTGACTGTTCCTTTTGTTGTATCTTATCGGGGGAAGAGTTCACGGGAAAGCTCACTCCGCCATGATGCTGACGTCACTCAGAAAAAAAATTTTTTTGTAACTATATGTGTTGATGGATGTTAACTAGATTTATTGTGGTGATCATTTTGTAATATATACAAATATTGAATCATTGTGTTGTATACCTGAAACTAATATAGTGTTGTATGTCAATTATACCTCAATAAAAAAGATTGCTTATTTCGTTGACAAAAAATAATATTTAAAATTTTTTGTATGAATTTCTGGTCTTGTGAAATGTCTCTTAATGTTCTTTACTTATTTTTGTGCTATGGTAGTCAGTTTATTACTGAATTGTAGGAATCAAATTCTTGACAGTTACAAAATCATTAGATTGAACTAGTATATAGACGTAATGAATATTACAAATATAAAATAGCAAAAAAAAGTTGTTAATATTTAGTACCGTCTCAGTCCATTTATTACCAGAAGAAATAAAAAGTCACTTCCTAATTTCAATTTTTTGTTTACTATATCAGAATAATCATGATCTAAAGATCTTGTGTATGTTTTTAGCTCCAGCAGATCTGCAAAATTCTGAATGCTTGTGTGGACTCTCTACAGTGGATTAATCAGAATTCAGGTGGGAGTTTATTTGTACACCAAGCTATCTGTATTGCAAGTAGAAAATGTGATACAAGTCAGGTTTTGTGCACCATGACAACACTCAAATAAGAGCTCTGTTGTAGGAGTGTCGCTTAACTCATGGTATGTCTACATTAGTTCTGAAGAACTATAATTGCTTATTTTTATAACATGAAACACAGGGAGGATAAACTAGAAACTGATGAAAATAGGGGGTATATAGGAATGGAGTGGAGGAGATAGGGATAGAAGCAGGACTTTTCTGAGTATACCTTTTTATACAGTTTTGACTTTTGGGCCACATAAAAGTTTAAATACTCAAAAATTAAAATTAAACCAAAAATAATTGGAAGAAAGACAAATACTAAAATTGAATATGAACTAAAGCCAAAAAAACCTATGTAACTAATTTATTACATAATCGTGCAGTTCAGATAACTTTCTAACATAGTGATCTTGATGGTGCATCCTCACGAGGATGTAATATAAAGGATAAAAAGAACTGCAAAGAAATCTTAAACTTTCTTAATAAGTTTACTGTTAGTTTCAGAATTATAATATAATATGTATGGTATACTAATATTGGTACCATTTTATATACAGTAGGATAAAGCAAATGCATAGAAAATCTATGCATTTCATTTTCATTGAAAGACAAAGGAAATATATTTTCACTGAAAGATAAAGGAAATATATTTTCATTGAAAGATAAAGAAAATATATTTTTCATTGAAAGATAAAGATTTTCATTGAGAGATAAAGGAAATGTATTTTTCCTTTCTTTCTTCTATATTTGTATTATAAATTTGAATTGCAAATATCAGTATGAATTCCTATCCCCTTGTTCTGTACATGGAAAGGGCCAAGAAGCAATGACAGATACCCCAGCAGCAATGAGCACATCTAGCACCTAGATTTTGGTTTCTAAATACCATTCCCATTAAAAGGAACCAAGAGGCTGGCCCGATGGTGCGGTGGTTGGGTGTGTGCGCTCCGCTTTGGCAGGGGTTCACAGGTTCGGATCCCGGGTGCCCACCAACCCGCTGCTCGTCAAGCCATGCTGTGGCGGCGTCCCCTGTAAAGCAGAGGCAGATGGACGCAGATGTTAGCCCAGGGCCAATCTTCCTTGGCAAAAAGGGGAGGATTGGCATTGGATGTTAGCTCAGGGCTAGTCTTCCTCACACACCAAAAAAAAGGAACCAAGGCTTCTTGGGGAAATATCTGATCTCAGATCTCAGGCTGGGAAAGTACAGGGTGAGTTTGGGACTTTTTATGCCACAAAACAAAGATTGTTCAAAGATTAATGAGGTTATATCAGGACACAAGATTGTGCTTGAATGGGCTTCTGCTTGCTAAATTAGGGTGGTTTGAACATTAGAAAGAATAATGACAGTAATGGATTATGATACATTGAGGGGAGAAAAAAACCATGAGTCCACAGTGATACTCTAAAAAAAAAGAGAGAAAGGGGAGGTGAAGGGAAAAGTCTTTATAGAAGCATGTCACCTAATAATTGTAGAAGGAATGATAGAATTAGAGAACCACCATTAAAAAGTTGTCAGCAGAACACTTTTATTAAGCTTACCCTGATCTTGGATACCCTGCTCTATTTATAAAATGTTTCAACTGTCAGTTCTCAGTAGAAAAAATATGCCAGCAGGCAATGGACCAAATAAAGCTTGCAAGTTACTGAGTTATTTTTTGGAAAAAAAAAAAGTTTTATTGAGGTATAATTTACATACCATAAATTTCATCCTTTTTAATTGTATAATTTAGTGAGAAAGTCACCATTTTCTAGCCCCAGCATAATGATTGATTCAGGCAAGGGTCATCAATGAATGCTAAAACCACTGAGTTTAACACTGTTGGGGAACAGGATATTTATATGATCTCAAAAGTATCACTCCACAGATTACTTAAAAATTATAAAGAATAAAATGTGCCTTTACCACAGAGCTGTCTGACAAGTACAACTTTAATCAAGTGATCAAATTTAATATCACCAGTAGTGGGATAACTTGACACCATGTGCCTCTTGGTCTGACATGATAAGAAATACACAATCTCACATACGTAGTATTCTTATCAAAAATATTTAACCTGAATCTAATCATAAGAAAATAATGAGACATTCTATGTGTGAGATGTTCTGAAAGATAATTGGCTTGGACTCTTCAAAAAGTCAGTCATGGGAAACAAAAAAGTTCAAAACAAAAAAAATTAAAGAGATTGTCTTAGATTAAAAGTAACATAACAGGGCCGGCCCCGTGACTTAGTGGTTAAGTGCGCACGCTCCGCTACTGGCGGCCCGGGTTCGGATCTGGGTGCGCACCGACGCACTGCTTCTCCAGCCATGCTGAGGCCGCGTCCAACCTACAGCAACTAGAAGGATGTGCAACTACGACTTACAACTATCTACTGGGGCTTTGGGGGAAAAAAAAGGAGGAGGATTGGCAATAGATGTTAGCTCAGAGCCGGTCTTCCTCAGCAAAAAGAGGAGGATTAGCACGGATGTTAGGTCAGGGCTGATCTTCCTCACAAAAAAAAAAAAAGTAACAGTCAAGTTACCGTGTTAACTTTGACTGGATACCAGATCAAAACCAAGAAGACATTATTTTGGACAATTGGGGAAATTAAATATGGACTACATATTAAATTATATTAATGAATTTTTTATTTTCCTATGTGTGTTATTGTGGTTATGTAGGAAAATATTTTTATTCTTAGAAGCTGTATGCTGCATTATTTAGAGAAGTGTGGTGTCTGTAGTTTTCTTTCAAGTGATTCAACCATTTGTGAAGAGAAAGTGATGGAGCAATTTGTGGTGAAATGGCAACAGTGGATTAATCTAAGTAAAGGGTATACAAGTTTGACATTTTTAGTATTCTTTCAACTTTTCTATAGATGTAAAATAAAAATTGGGGGAAGTAATTTTTATAGACTTTTGCCTAAAAATGGAAAATAATGAGACCTCAGTAATTGAGACAAATGGGGGCTAGTTAGCCAATCAGAGTTACTGTTTTTAAAGATGTGGTATGAAAATAATATACATTTTCTTATTTGGCATTCCAGATTCCTCATTCTCTGCATTAATAGAGGTCATCAACCATGAGCTTCTTTCCCGTTCAGACATACCTATATCATCATCCATCTTTACTTCTTTCTCTGCTGTGCTAGAGAAAGAAATGTCCTATCCCTTTATAAACTGTATTTTGAATCATCAGAGCGAGGTTAAATTCTATATTGCTTTAGTATTGATCACCTGATGGGGAGAGGTTTCTGAGTCAGATAGGTATGGGTTCAAATTAAGGCATAACCACTTAATAGTTTTGTGACCTTGTTACTTAATCTCTTTGAGTCTGTATCCTCATTTTAAAAATGAGGGTTAATATTTACCCTTTAGGGTTTTTGTAAGGATTAAAAGAAGCAATGTTGAACTTTCCTTGAGCACTGCCTGGCCCCTGGTTGGTGGTCAGTAAATGATAGCGGCAGAACTGGTTATCAGAGTTTACTGTGAATAAGAGAGAGAGAGGGAGAAAGACAAGAAGAGTCATTTGGTTCAACAGGTAGCTATTACACTGGGTCTAGAGAAGGTGGTTCCAGGTAGATTGTCGTTGAAGCCATTTACCTAGTTGTAAGAACAGCTGAGATGTGGGAGAATGTCAGTGGCTGGAAAACATTGAAAAATGATATTATACAGAGTTTGACTCAGTTGTTTTCCTGTCTGTTGCATGTTTTCGTACAATGAGCAATGCTTCTTGGGTGGAGTTGAGGGGGTGTCGATATGTAATTAGGATTGTAGAGAAAGATTATAGTGATTTTTTTCTCTTGGCTCGGATCTTCTTTGTCATAAATGAAATCTCAAGGCTCTGAGCCAGTGTTTTCCTACTAATAAAATTGAGATTGTTAGCGCTGCAAAGGACCTACTTTATATAAATGAAGAAACTGTGGCCCAGAGAGGTTAAATTATGTCCCTAAGAACACGCAGCTAATTGTTGGTGGAGCTAGGACCAGAATCCAAATTTCCTAATTACCGGAACCGTATTCTTTCTACTGGTATGCTCTTAAAACAGTTCTAATAGAAGCATCACTGGATATAAAAACAAATGTTAGTCATGTACCTAACAGTAGAGGACAATGGTTTTCGAAGTATGATAATGGTAGTACTTTGAGTGGGATATAAGTTCTAGGTGTCTGGGTAAAGTTCGCAGTCAACACACGGTACAAGGAGTAAGACAATGGAGAGTAATGATTACTGGGAGTTACTTTTCTGCTAAAAATTCAGTTGAGCTGGAGAGGCAATAACATCTCGTATAGGTTCTCAACTGAGACAAGGGAGGCCATGATGAAGAATGGGAAAAAGCCTGGTAATTCTTGATACTGTGGGCTCATTTTTGCTGTTCCCACCCAAGGAAGCTTTCCTTTTCATATCAGGAAATGACATGATCAAGTAATGGAGAGTGGCAGAGTTTAATTATGCTGTCTAAGAGAGGTTTTTATTGTTGTTGTTGGTTTATTTTGCTTTTTTGTGTTTAATGGGATTATATCTGCTGAAATGGTCTGTGGACTGAGAAGTTTTAAGGTTAATTTCTCAATGAGTCCATTTATTCATATCCAAATAATAGTTATAGAAAAACTAATACATATGTCATTTTAACAATAAAAATAATATATTTTTTTTTCACTAAAGAGAAATCTCTAACTGTATTGTTTTCTTAATGATTTTAAAGTCGAAATCTGTATTTTAAAAAGTTTCTGGGAAATATTTTTATTTAATATCTTTAATATCAGTACAAATTTTTTTTCTTTTGTAAAACATAGTAGCTATTGTGCTAATAGGATCATGTATTTAACTTAAAAAATCAGCTTTTCTTTTAAAGTGACTTGGAAATCATACATTACACTTTAAATATGTTAAAATATTACCCTGTCCAATCAACTTTTCAATATCCATGAGTAAGTTATAGAGAACCAGGCCCCTTTCTTCTTCTAACTTAC